GTACAGTTCTTCTGTGTATTCTTGCCACCTCTTCTTAATATCTTCAGCTTCTGTTAGGTCCATACCATTTCTGTCCTTTATTGAACCCATCTTTGCATGAAATGTTCCCTTGGGATCTCTAATTTTCTTGAAAAGATCTCTAGTCTTTCCCATTCTGTTGTTTTCCTCTATTTCTTTGCACTGATTGCTAAGGAAGGCTTTCTTATCTCTCCTTGCTATTCTTTGGAACTCTGCATTCAAATGGGAATACCTTTCCTTTTCTCCTTTGCTTTTTGCTTCTCTTCTTTTCACAGCTATTTGTAAGGCCTCCTCAGACAGCCATTTTTCTTTTTTGTATTTCTTTTCCATGGGGATGGTCTTGATCTCTGTCTCCTGTACAATGTCACAAACCTCTGTCCATAGTTCATCAGGCACTCTGTCTATCAGATCTAGTCCCTTAAATCTATTTCTCACTTCCACTGTATAATCATAGACTAATATGTACTAATTAACAAAAAGCAATGGAAGATAAGGAACAGGCTTCCCTGGTGGCTCAGATGGTAAAGAATCCATCTGGAATACAGGAGACCTGGGTTCGATCCCTGGGTTGGGAAGATCCCTTGGAGGAGGGCATGGCAATCCACTCTAGTATTCTTGCCTGGAGAATCCCCATGGACAGAGGAGCCTGGCGGGCTATAGTCCACAGGGTCACAAAGAGTGGGACATGATGGAGCGAGTAAGCACAGCACAGAAATGGGAGATAGAGAACAGATCACTGACAACAGACTGGGTACCCGCTCTAAGAAGTCAAAGAAGAGGCTTCTTTTCTGCAATGAAACTGGATCTTAGTAGTATGTTTATTTTGGATGGGTGAAATGATAGGCACTCCAGGGGATCAGAATATAGGATCAGGACAGGAATAAAGCATCAAAAGAAGCTGCCTGAACAGCCACCCTTTGGCTACTCAGGACAGTCCCCAGGCTAAGTGCCTTGTATGCATTATTTGTCTAATCTGGACAACAATCCTGCAGAGTAGATAGCATCATTGCCAATTTGATAAGTAAGGAGCCTGAGGCTGCAGGGGATTAGTAACTGGCCAAGGTTACACAGGATTAACTGGCAGAGCTGGGATTTGAAGACGCAGCCATTGTGCCATGCTGTGTCCTCGACAGCAAGACGCAAATAGCACCAGGTGTTTGCTTCAGAGAGGAGACTCTTTGTATTGATGAACAGTTTAAATTGTAAAGCAATGAACACAATGTGTCATGTGTGTAGGGCTTAGCTGACTGACAAGCTGACAGGTTAGCTGACTCTGAATGTAGGTTTGTCCATCTAGAAAGAGAAGCAAGACAGCTCATCAACCAGACGAGAGTGATCTAGGGAGAAATGATGAAGGAGGGCAGCCCTAGAACTGGGGAGTATCTCTGATCAACAGGGGGCTTCCCTGGTGGCTCAGATGATAAAGAATCTGCCTGCAATGCGGGAGACCTGGGTTGGATTCCTGGGTTGGGAAGATCCCCTGGAGGAGGGCATGGGAACCCACTCCAGTATTCTTAAAATTACTGTCAATTTTGATTAGATCCATCTCAGCACTCAGAATTTATGTTCTCAACTTGTTTCTTTGTAAAGGAACTAAAAATAAGGACTCCCATTTCCCACACAGCTATAAACACTGAACATTTCCCACCCTCAGTGCTGTAGTCAAGGCCATGAAATTGTTTCATTAAAATGTGAGTGAAAAAAGAGACATTCAGTGGGTCAAAGAAAATGACCGTTTCTTCGTAAACATCAGTATTTCCATTTATTCCCCTAATAACTGATTGTGTCCTCCCCAGAACTGAAAACATTCTTGGTACCTGTCCTCTTCGGCATCCTGTTGTCTCAGGGAATTTATCTAGTAAAGAACAGGTCTTAGGAGCTCCTTTACAGGCATTTTCATTTTTTCTTCCTAGAACAATAAATGATAAAACCACTGTTAGGAACAAATCACAGTAAAACTTTAACTCATCCCGTTTTGACCATATACAACCTATATTGTCCGCCTCACTGTAAGAATGAGAAGGCTAGGACTTCCCTGGTGGTCCAGTGGCAAGACTTCGAGCTCTCCTAATACAGGAGGCCCCAGGTTCAATCCCTGGTCAGGGAACTAGATCCCACATGCTGCAACTAGGAGTTCATGTGCTGCAACTAAGACTCAGCACAGCCAAAAAAATAAATAAATATTAAAGGAAAGCCAAAATAATCAATTTTAAAAAATGAGAGGCTGAGTAAACACAAGAAGACACAATATTCTGTTGCAATAGATAGTGACTGGCAGAGTACGGAGCAGAATACTCTACTCAATGGCCTATTGCATTTGATTAAAGATGTCTAATGGACAGGGCATGTGTTACATGCCTATTTCCCCCCTATGGTAGACAGAATAACGGCCCCTCCCAAAGAGGATCATAACCTAAGCCCAGTCAGTCGTAAATACATTAGGTAACATGGCAAGGGGAAATTAAGGTTGCATATGACGATGAGATTACTAACCAGCTGACCTTTAAAAAAGGAGATTATTGTGGATGAACTGGATGGGCCCAGTGTAATCACAGGGTCTAAATACACAAGGAGCAGAGAGTCAAGGCCAGAGTGACGCAGAATGAGAAAGATATGACTGGCTATTGCTGGTTCTGAAGACGGAAGGGGACCACAAGCTAAAGAATGTGGGCAACTTCCAGAAGCCGGAGCCACCAGAAGAAATGCCAGAGCCACCAGAAGCCACCCTGATGACACTTTGATTTTAGCTCAGTGAGACCTACTTCTGACCTCTAAATTGTAAAGATGATATATCTGTGTTATCTTAAGCCACTAAATTTATGGTAATCTGTTATAGCCACAGTAAATTAATCCACCCACTCTAAGAAAGCAAAATAGCTTAGTGCATTTTCCAGGATTATATGCTAATAACCTAAACATTATTTTTCATTGAAATTTAATGTATTTTTCAATTACAGCTCATTCTTTATGTGCTGATAAAGAAGAGGGAAAGAGGTCTCTAGGAGACAGGGGTTTCTCTGAGTGACTGTCAAGAAGACAGATGTAGGTAGAATCTGAAGCACCTTGGACTATGCAACACTCCTCACCATCTACAAAAACAGTTTCTTAGGAATGATGTGCTCAGGAAGGTACAGTGCCATTTGCTTTTATGGAGGAGTATAAACGATATGTATTTTTGTGAAAGATAGACATTTTAACTCCTAGAGTCCATGTTTTTAACTGTGACCTAAGACTGCCCCTATTACTGTTATATAATGTCTAATTATTATGTGATAAAAAACTAGTATCGCTATCATTTGTCAGACCTTTGAACACTCACTGATCCTAGTGACAATATCATACTTAAGGCACTATTTTCATCACCATTTTTCAGCTGAGGTATCTGAGGCTCAGAGATTCAGGAACATGCCCACATTACACGGTAACAAGTGGTACAGCCAGGACCCCAACTCAGGATCCTTCGGCTCCAAAGGCTATGCTTTAAAGCATGATTTACCATTTCATTGCATCTTGGACGTGAAGATAGCTGTGCAGAACAAACCATTCAGCTGAGGAGAAAATGCCCAGCAGCCGAACACAGTGTGGTTTTGTTATTTTATTATTTGCCACACAGTTTAAAGTAACTTTCAAGAAGTGATAAACTCTGCTTCTTTGGGGAAAAATAGCCTTAGAAAGAGATCTAAATGCCAATGCAAATCTGAGAAAACCAATTGAATATTTCATTTACATATGAAGAATACATTGTAAGAGGGATATTCATGGAGCCACCTTGGAAGGAAAGCTATGACCAACCTAGATGCATATTAAAGAGCAGAGACATTACTTTGCCAACAAAGGTCCATATAGTCAAAGTATCTCAGATGGTAAAGTGTCTGCCTGCAATGTGGAAGACCCAGGTTCGATCCCTGGGTCAGGAAGATCCTCTGGAGAAGGAAATGGCAACCCACTCCAGTACTCTTGCCTGGAAAATCCCATGGACAGAGGAGTCTGGTAGGCTACAGTCCATGGGGTCGCAAAGAGTCAGACACGACTGAGCGACTTGACTTTACTTTAAACCCTTACTTTATAGAAGTAAATACCCCAAATATTTGAGAAATACCCCAAATATCTAAGTTACCCAGTAGAGTTCTCTATATTTGTTCAAATCCAGTCAAAACTTTTTTATATCTTTGTCTTGAACAGCCAGAGAAACTTTATTTTTTATCAGCTTAATAAGAAAATTCAACATTGGATTGACAAGTCCTTGTTATTATGCTTGCTTCTTTGAATTAATAATTATATATTAGTAAACTTTAAAGCAATTAAAGCTGTGTGGGCAGGTAAACTATTTCTTTTTGTTTTTGCTGTTCCAGTCCTNTGACTCAATGGACATGAATCTGAGCAAACTCCGGGAGATAGTGGAGGACAGAGGAGCCTAGTGTGCTGCAGTCCACGGGGTTGCAAAGAGTGGGACACAACTTAGCAAGTGAACAACAACACATACTTCAGAACTGACTGGGCTGCTTAGAGACCTTTTGTGATTCCCACTTCCATATGGATGGAAACCAAGCTTGAAGCCACAGCTTCAGGCCTTCAAATATTCAGTAGCATCCTTTCCGAACTAGACTAGACAACCTCTAAGTCTCTACTAAGTCAGATCGTGTGGGCCTCTTGTCGGGACCTGAGCTCTCAGTATTGCTAAGCAATAGCCCTGCCGCCTCCCTCCCCACATTTTCCTGACCCCTCTGTCTCCAGGCCGACAGGGCATCTTCCTTCAGGGACACCGCCCTGCTTCTATGCAAACTATGTTACTGGATGCCATCAAAAGTCCTTAAACTGTGCATTCATTTCCAGAAAATACTGGATTCCTCTTAGAAGACTGGAACCACAAACAAAAGACTACACAGAACCTTAATAAAACTTCCTAAAAGAGAAACTATTTTATGATCATAAAATAAAACTAGAAATTAATTTCTAGTTAATTGACTGCAACTGATTGAAAAACGGGCATGTATAGAATACACATACACTTCTAAATTATTTTGGATCAAAATGGAAATCAAGATAAAATGAAGTCCTTTGGGCAGAATAATACAAGTGAAAATACACATTACAGCTTAAGGAAAGTAGTTAAAACTTTGAATCAAAGCCAGAGGTTAGTCCATAGTCTTAAATGCTTTTATTAATGAAGAAGAATGAAAATAAATTTTCTAAGAAGTTCCAATTGAAAAGTTACAAAATACCAATAAAGTAAATAACAAAATAACAAGAAGAGGAAGAAAAATATAAAATCAGAAATTAGATAACAATTAAAATAAGGTGAGATGTAATTTGAGTTTTTTTTAAAGAAATAATAGATCACTCTGTCAAACTTAAGAAAAAAGAAGGAACATGAAAATTCCATTCAGTGGGAAGAAGGATTTAACAAAGATAACAAAGAAGTAAAGAGTACTTTAAGAAATTACTCTAATTCATGGAAAATTAGATATGATAAAAATATATGAAAATGCGTAAGTTAACAGATATTGTATGATTCCACTTATATGAACTGTTTTGTCTAAAGTTGTCAAATTCATAGACAGAGAAAGTGTAAAGGTGGTTGCCAAGGGCTGAGTTTTGCAAGGTGAAATAGTTCCAGAGATTGGTTGCCCAAAAATATGACTATACTTAACTGTACTGAAAGTATACTTAAAAACAGATGAGGTGCTAAATTTTAAGTTACGTGTATTTTGCTACAGTTGAAACCAAACCTTAAAAGTCAAACCAAATAATTTGGTTGCCACCAACCAAACTGTCTCCATTATTTATTTCCTTTTGTTTAATGTTCTTATATGCCCTACAATGCTTTGCGTATTTCAATCTTATTAAAGCACATGGCTTTAGCAGAGAGTATGGTTCCCAAAAATTACCTCCAGGATGTGTATGATTCTGAAGCCTTATTCTAGAAGCCCAGTAGGTTCTATGAAGCATGAGGATGTTAATGGAAAGGAGGCATCAGGTGAACTGGTAAATGCTTACAGCCAATAGAACTGACTCATTTAGTGAGATGCCGATAGACAAAAATTAGCATGCTGTTCATATATTGACCTTACTATGTGTTAGTCGCTCAGTCATGTTTGACTCTTTGTGACCTCATGGACCATACAGCCTGCCAGGCTCTTCTGTCCATGGGATTTTCCAGGCAAGGATACTGGAGTGGGTTGCCATTTTCTTCTCCAGGGCATCTTCCCGACCCAGGAATTGAACCCGGGTCTCCTGCATTGCAGTCAGATGCTTTACCATCTGAGCTAGGGAAGCCTGACCTTACTATAGCTCTGCTTAAAAAAGTCTTGTTGGAAAAAAGCTGACAGAGTCACTTGAAATCCTGTGATCTCTCTTCTTATGGACATTTCCCTGAAAATATTACTGAAGTTGTTCTTTCTCTGATATGTAAACCTTTGTATTCTGAAAGCATACTGACATAAAGGATGGTGCTTATTTGTCCCATAATATAAACCAACTGCTTACCACCCTCTAATTTATTTTCTGCAGCTAAAGGTGTGAGACACGTGCTGGTTAGTCTTCAGAATGAATTTACTTTTGTACAGCTACTGTTAACCCAGGTTAATTTGAATTTTCAAGAGAGTTGGAGAGTGCTTTAAAGACAAAATTTAATGCTTCTCATTTTGAGGACAGATTGACATTACCTCGCTGGACACACACAGAGTGGGGCGTGCACCTGAGCCTGGGTTCAGCTCAGGGAATGGCACGTTGACTGTGAGCCCCTTCCTATTCTTTTTGTTTTAATTTCTTTTTGGCTGCACTGTGTCTTCATTGCTCTGCTTGGGTTTTCTCTAGCTGTGGCGAGTGAGGGCTACTCTCTAGCTGCGGTGCGCGTGCTTCTCACTGCGGTGGCTTGTCTTGTTGCAGGGCACAAGCTCGAGGGCGGGCTTCAGGAGCTGCGGCAAAGGGTCTCAGCTGCTCTGCAACATGTGGGATCGTCTTGGACCAGAGATCATCGAACCCATCTCCCCTGCATTGGCAGGCGGATTCTCAGCCACTGGACGACCAGGGAAGTCCCTTGTTCCTATTCTTGAGGAGCTCAGACACTAGCTATTACTGAGTTGTCCCTGTGGTGTGTCATCACCCCTAACAGCCCTCATGTTGGGATGTGTTTCCACGGGACAGGGGCAAAGGAGGCCCAGGGAAGCTCCTTTCCAAGGCACCCATGGTGGGCTTTTCACTTACATCTATACAGTAGGACAACTCTTTGTAACAGGAAAGACCAGGAAAACCCAAACACATTATATATCCAAATACAACTTATGCGTATATAAAATTATGAATTTGCATGCACACACACACACATAAATGAGTATGCATACATTTTAAGAAGCAATGATCATATTTTGAGCACCTGGGTTTCCCAGGCTCCGTGAAGCACTCCCAGAAGGGCCCCCCCCCCTTCCCCATCAGGTCACAGAACGATCAGGAAGTCAGGTGCTCACCTTGCTGCCACAGCGTAAACTGACTCCAGTCACCCTTCTCCCTCAGGTTCTCATCTTCAGGCAGGAAGAGGCCCTGGGTTTTATCCATCGCTGCAAGGCCTTCATCTCGGATTAACTTCCAGTTTCTTTCTAAGGACTAGAGAGAAGATTCTGGACTGAAAATATGCCTGGTAATACACCTTAGAGTGACATTCAGCCTTTTGTTTGTCTGATTGATAAGTAATGAAAACTTCCCTCTCGTCTAAATTTGGTGTTGTTGAGTCGCTCAGTCGGGTCTGACTCTTTGTGACCCCATGGATGGTAGCTCGCCAGGCTCCTCTGTCCGTGGGATTCTCCAAGCAAGAATACTGGAGTGGGTCGCCATGCCCTCCTCCAGGGGAATCTTCCCAACCCAGGGATTGAACCCATGTCTCTTAAGTCTACCTGCATTGGCAGGCAGGTTCTTTTCTGAAAATATGCCTGTTAATACACCTTAGAGTGACATTCAGCTTTTTGTTTGTCTGATTAATAACTAATGAAAACTTCCCTCTCATCTAACTTTGGTGTTGTTGAGTCGCTAAGTTGTGTCTGACTCTTTGTGACTCCATGGATGGTAGCCCGCCAGGCCCCTCTGTCCGTGGGATTCTCCAAGCAAGAATACTGGAGTAGGTCGCCATGCCCTCCTCCAGGGGAATCTTCCCAACCCAGGGATTGAACCCATGTCTCTTAAATCTACCTGCATTGGCAGGCAGGTTCTTTACCACTAGCATCACCTGGGAAGCCCATCCAAGACATTCACCCCATCCTGAATGCACCCAAATCGCCAACACTCCCTGCAGCTATTGTAACTTGTTCAAGCCATGAGATGAATCTGTTCGATTCTTGTTAAACTGCCACACTAATGGGAGAATTACTGCTCTTCTAACACATGGAATTACTTTTCAAATGAGGCCATTGGTGGGTGCCTCGTACGTCAGGCTCTTCCTCTCTGCCCTCCTGGTATTTTAGAATCTTTCATTTCTTTTGAAAGCTGATTTTAGGGGCATCTTTGGAAAGAGCTGATCTTTTGTTCCTAAAACAGGGCATGAAGCCCTAGGGAAAATGTTAAAATGACTACATCACTAAATACAAATTTTTTAATTTTCCTTAAGAGCAGGCTGTCTTTTACATGTTAAGTGTCATTCCACCCCCTCCTGCCTCCTCTTCCCAGGGTTCCCCTAGGCTGAGAGACTTTTCCATGAGCAGTAGTGACTTAAATTTTTTTTTTTCTTGTTTGCACAGAGGTGCTGGATGACAGACTCAAGGCTGAAAGTAGCAAAGGGGTGCATGGTCTCCCAGTTGGTCCCCAATGGGAAATACTCCAATAGCAGCACCACTGACTCCTCAATCTGCTGAGCAAATGCTGCACGGACGTTGACTTTTTTCCTGTATTTATTTGTCATGAAACAGCCACTCAGCATGTTCTCTCTAGAGCTCAGTACTTGGAGGTAGAATCTGACAACTGGAAGGATCTGTGTTGTGGGTGTTGTGGAGACTGCTGTCTTGGGGGATGACAGGGAACTTGGGCAGTGACTGAGTCTAGGCACTCACAGTCTAGGGCCAGATACTGGCACGGTAGTCCCCCTCACCATCACCTCTGGGGCATCTGTGGAAGGAGGGGGTCAGACCGCAGAGGGCTCGGGCCCCTGCTCTCCGCTGGGGCAGCAGGGTGGCCATGGGTCCCCACTGTGATGTTGAGGACACACACTGGGAAAGGTCCTGGTGGAACAAGGTGTGCACTGACTGAGTACTGGGCACATCTCAAAGGGAGCACACACTCTGATGGCTGGGGAAAATGGGGCTAACCAGAGATTACACAGTTCTGCATGGTGACTTGATGAAAAACACAGAGAAAAGAACCATCACGACCCCCTACATGTTCCACAGAGCCACTTTTTCTAGCAAAGTAATTATTGTGCTTGAAGGTGGCTCAGTGGTAAAGAATTTGCCTGCCAAGGCAGGAGACACAAGAGACACGTTCAATCCCTGGTTCAGGAAGATCCCCTGGAGAAGGAAATGGCAAGCCACTCCAGTATTCTTGCCTGGAGAATCCCATGGACGGAGGAGCCTGGAGGGCTACAGTCCACGGGGTTGCGGAGTTGGACCCAACTGAGCGATGAAGCAAGTATTCTTAATGACTGTACTTGGGTATGTTTTTCAGTTTTGGAAAGACACCAAAAAGAGTCTCTTTTTTGAGCATGGGGGGAGGGAATCTGGAATGGGTCTTGGGAATGGCATTTTCAAGCATAAACCAAGGTACCACACTGTAAAAATTTAATGGTTACAGGAATTAAAGGCCAAATAAAACTTTTTCTTGTGTGCATGCATGAGGGACATAGAGAGACATAGAGCAAAGGAAGAGATGGGGAGTGAGGTAAGGGAGGGAAGAAGGAGAAGGAAAAGGAGAAGGAGGAAGAGAAAAGAAGGAGAAATGTATCTTTTCTGTAATAGTATCATTAGTTTTCTGACTTGGCAAATAACTCCATTTTTTAGGAAATTCCAACAGGAACCTGAAGGCTTGCACAGAGCAGGCCATGCCTACATTCTTATCTGAAATATTACTTCCTTGACCCTACATTCATTCATTTTGTAAAACTGAAAAGAGAGATTCATAGGGTTGGTATTTGGGTTGGTTGCCCAGAAAACAGCAGCTTCTGACTCACATTTTTTCCTCTGACTACACAGACTTTAGCAAACAGAGATCTGTTTGTTTTCACAATGCTTTGTGGCCCCATAAACCCGTCATCAGCACTTGCCTTTCAGTTAAACCTCAGCTATATTGGGCACTCCACTCATCTATAAATGGACTTCCCAGTTTCAAGCCTCATTAATCCCACCCTGTGCAGCCAGCGCTCCTTAATCCTCCCCCTGTTCCAGTGCATGATGGTTTCCTCTTTTTGCAGTTATTCTGCTCACTCCACTTAGATGGCATGCTTTTTTCTTCAACATCAAATTAGATGAAGTCTTATTTTTAAAGGCTTCTCCTAACACTGATTTCTAGCAGAAAGCCTTCAAAGGTGCAAACGAAAGCCAAACGAATTCTTCACTATTTCACTTGCTATGTTCATTCTATTAAGAAATACACATTTTTAAAAAAGTGAAATATTACTACAAGTTTTATAATAAAAGCAGCAGTCTCTTACTCAAGTTTTCCCCAGTCTTGAGTCCCATCCCCAGATAACTGCTTTAAATATTTTTTCTCATCTTTACCTGCTTCTATCTAAGTAATATATTTATATTGCTAACTTTGATTTATTAATTCTAGATTTTATCACTCATTTTCTACCAGGGAAGGGAACAAATTTGATGTCTTCTTTTTCTTCTTCTCCATCTAGAAATTCAGCTCATTTCACAAACCTTTCACACATTTGAGTAAGCTCCCATTTGAGTTTTATTGAGTTGTAACAAATATACTTTGTTTCACATGCAGCATATATAAATTCTGCCTCCTTTTCTTTGCCTTGATTTTCTAACGCCCTTAACACTGCTTCTTCTTTATAGTCCTGAAAGTGTGCTGTAAAATCTCTTGATACTATGCTACCTTTTGCCAAAAATATCATATAAGCTCTTTCTCTGAAGATAACCTACAGCAGCCATCTGCTTTGCTCTGCTCTGAACTGGGTGGTGTCTGGGCTTGCTGGACCATTGTCATCAGGGAACTTCTCTTGACCTCTGCCCAGTATGAGGCTCCCTAATTACTCAATTCTAATCTGAATAAAGGATTATCTGTGTTCCTGAGAAAGGACACACACTGCAGATAAAACTGAATTTCTAAAAGTATCTGGTTATTTTTTTTTTTAATTTTCATTGAAGTACAGTTGATTTACAATGTTGCATTAATTTCTTCTGTATAGGAAAGTGATTCAGTTATACATTATATATATATTCTTTTCCAATATGGTTTATCACAAGATATTGAATGTAGTTGTCTGTGTTATACAGTAGGACCTTGTTGTTTGTCCATCCTATATATAGTAGTTTTCATCTGCTAATCCCAAAAACGCAATCTTCCCCTCCCCTAAACTCCCTCCCCATGGACAACCACAAATTTGTTCTCTATGTCGTGTCTGTCTCTGTTTCACAGATATATTTGTGTCAATTTTTTAGATTCCACAGATAAGTGATATCATATGGTATTCGTCATCCTCTTTTTTATTTATCTGAAGTTGTTCTTACACTTGATCGAAGGCTTGACTATGTACAGGATTCTAGCCAGTGAATAATTTCTAGGTAGGCTTTTGGACAGCAAAGAGCTCAAACCAGTCAATCTTAAAAGGAAATAAGCTTTGAATATTCATTGGAAGGACTGATGCCGAAGCTGAAGCTCCAATACTTTGGCCACCTGATGTGAAAAGCTGACTCGTTGGAGAAGACCCTGATTCTGGAAAAGACTGAGGGCAGGAGAAGAAGGGGGTGACAGAGGATGAGATGGTTGGATGGCATCACTGACTCAATGGACATGAACTTGAGCAAGCTCCAGGAGATAGTGGAGGACAGGGGAGCCTGGCCTGCTGCAGTCCATGGGGTCACAAAGACTCGGCTACAACTTAGCGACTGAACAACAATAGGTTTGGTTTCTTTTGAATCCTCTCCCCAGCTTGTGGAGGGCTACTTTCTGTGTTCTTACATGGTCTTTCTTCTGTGTCCTCAGACATTCCTGTGTGTCCAAATTTCCTTTTCTAATAAAGATGCTAGTCATATCAGACTAGGGATCACCCTAACGGCCTCATTTTAACTTTATCTCCTTAAAGGTCCTATTTCCTAGTATGGTCATATTCGTGGGAATAGGAATTCAATATACAAGTTTTGAGGGGACACAGTCAATGTGTAACATTAATGCAGATTCAGGTTAAAACTAGACCCAGCTGAGAAAGCCGACAGCAGATGGGAGGGGATCCATATGCCAGTAAATCTATGGCAGCAAAACAAAACACAGTCATGGAAAAAATCAGAAGGAGATACACGTTTAACATGTGGACAAAACATAATACAAGATAAGCCTAAGCAAGGTTAGGTAAGTAACTATGGGCAAACACAGACACTGGCAGAAATCCCAGAGCTGTTTGTGCCTTGAAAGGTCCTGACTCCAAACTGAGAGAAGGCAAGTGATCCAAGACT